ATTTTTTAAAATCTTCTTGAATGCTTACATGAGCTAGGAAACAAAACAAAACAAAAAATACTCAAGTAATGACAGGAATACAGAAGTGTATGGGAGAACTTAAGGTCAGCTTTTACCTTAAGGGTAGAACTGAAGAATAAAAACATGTTGTAAAAGCAGGACACTGGCAAACAAAAGCAAGCATGGGAAGGATAAAAACAAAATTCAGGATAAGAGTACCCTGAGTGGAGTGAAAGGGCAGTGTGTACAGTGAGGTGGGCCACAGGAACATGGGACAGGGAAGTATCAAGATGTTCCTTTCATCTGAGCAGTAGGGTCACGGGTATTCATTGTATCACCAATTATCACACCTTATAAAAGAATATATATATATTAGATATTATAGAATCTACAGAATTAAAAAGTATCAATATCATCAAATTCTGAGCCCCATAAAAATCATTGATTTAGCCTAGAATTCAGTGGCAGTATGTTATGTACATATGTAACCATCTTAAATGTTTGCATCAAATATTAAAGACTTTAAAGGTCAGAGAATGTGTATCATCACATTCTGAGACCATTATAAAGTGATTAATTCATCTCATACTTCAGTGAAGGTTCTTACACACAATACATACATAATGTTTCAGCTGCATTCTCAGATAAATATACTCTGGCTATAGAAAGCTGATGAGGACAATTACTGATTTATCTGCGCCCCATTTGCACGTGTGTTTAAATAGCAGAAAACTCTGGATTCCAAACTGATTTTGTAACTTTGGAATTAAACTCTTTCCCAAGTTTGGTGCTGCCTGTGTAGGACAATATATGGGTCACTCAAAATAGTTCTGGAATTGCCAAGCATGTGGTAGGGCAGATTCTGCATTGAGGCTTTACCAGGAGAAGTCAAATATTTAATTACTTACCAAACCAGCAATAAAAACTCATACTATATTCAAAACTTTCTTGCCAGATCAGGGTAAAACTTAAAAATATGCTTTTTTTCCCCACACAAATGAAAATTATACATGTTATACACATGGCCTGTTTTAAACAACAGCATTTAATGCTGTTAATACTTTCCACATCTATGAACAGTTGTACCTCCCTGTTAATGAGGGATACATAAATTTGAAACTCAGTACATTTAACCTGTTGAAAGACATCTGCAACACCTCTAATTTCTTTCTTGTTACTGTAATATGCCTATAAGCATCCTTGTATATGTATGCATACATGTGTAAATCTTACTATTTCTTTTGAATAAATTCATAAAAGTAGAATTATTAGGTCCAATCATAGGAAACTGCCAAGGTTTCAACTGTTTTTTACTTACAGTAAAGATGGCAGTCAATAGGGTCACCCAACAAACTGGAGGACATGAACATATTCAAGGCTTTTGGTATACTGCCAATTCATTAATTTTGACAAATCATAGTATTTTGTTGTTGTTGTTGAGACAGGGTCTTGCGTGGGCCACCGCACCCAGTCAATCATAGTATTTTCTTTCTTCCTCCCTTCCCTTTTTATGATTTTGTTATCACCTTTAACTCCCTCCAATTACCATTACTTGAGCCTGAAACACTGGCATGGAAAAACGACGACATTGCCAGTCACCAATGGGAAAGGAATGTGACCATGACTATACTTTCTTTTAAAATGTATGTACTTGATAAACTATTATAAAAGGATACACAAAATGAAAGTTATTATTAGAATACAGATAATTTAAGTAATGTTTCAGAAGTATTTTTTGAACTTTCTAAAAATGTGCCATGCCAAGCATGGTGGCTCATGCCTGTACTCCCAGCACTTTGGGAGGCCAGGGCAGAAGGACTGCTTGAGGACAGGAATTTGAGACCAGCTTGGGTAACATAGCAATACTCCCATCTCTACAAAAAATTTTTAAAAAATTACCGAGGCATCATGGCATACACCTATAGTCCCAACTACTCAGGAGGCTGAGGCAGGGGGATTGCTTGAGCCCAGAAGTTCAAGGCTGCAGTGAGGTATAATCATGCCACTGCACTCCAGACTGGGCAACAGAGCAAGACGCTGTCTCTATAAAAATAAAATAAAATTTAAAAAAATATTAAAATGTACTCAACAGATTTTTAAAAATTAAAAAGACAAAAAGAGAAACTGTAGAAATGAATGACAGCAAAGAGTGGGGTGGAGGAGCTGAAAGGTTCTACAGAGAACACATAGAAGGAAAAAGGAAAGCTATGTACCATCCCATAATGTGCAGCTCACACTTGTATGGTGACATGCAAATGGCAAATGCTGAATCCTCTAAGTCTGCTACTGTCTACAGACTGAAATTCAAAATGTCGCTGGGCAATTATATGGCAGACAATTTTATCTCATTTAATGAACGTAACAGTCCTATAGGATAGTTATTCCATATCTATATTTTAATATATAAAACAATTAAGCAAAAAGAGACTCAGAGGTACCTAAAATCACAGAGCTATTATACACAGAACAAGCATATGACTGTATTCACTACATATTCCTTTAAGCAAAATTTCATTAACACTTAACTATACTTAATGAATGTCTTGATCAGAATTTTTTTAGACCACTCTGACTGGATGGTAGTATCAAGGATAGACTGAATTTTTAAAAGGTTTATTACACTTAGCTTTCTCTTGGTTTTATAAAAACCGCTGAACTGAATTCTATAGACTACCGTAAGATATATCCTATTAGTAAAATAAAATCTGGGATACACTGGTATGTGCAGTACTCACTTTATCATATGGGAAAGTCTTCCAACAAAGAAAAAGTAGGACAACCTAGTAACAGTGTGAACAAGGAACAAAAAAGTTGCAGACTTTTAGGTTAGCCTAGAAATTATAAAAAGGAGTCACTTAGGCCTGTATTATGCATTCCAGAAATCAGTGTTACTAAAGTACCCATGTATTTCCTTGGTGGGTAGAATTTTTTTTCCAAGAAATAATACCAATAGTGACACAGATCACATACCAAAAGAAAAATGCTAAATAAATATGAGTTATTTAAACTCTCATTATTTCCTTAGGCAAAATATGAAGTTCAACAGACTGCTAAAGGATGAGATGTAACAGTACATCAGAACCAGTCTGTAAGCTGAACATTATTTTTGCAATGAGTAGGCTTCCAATAAGCTCAGCTGGAATCTGAAAATGCCTTCTTAATCTTTCCATTTTACCAACTTAAATTCCTCTCTTATTCAACTCTGTATTATCATAAACCCTCAAAACTTGTCACCAATCCCTTACCTCAGGGGTCCCCAAACCCTGGGCCATGGATCAGCACCAGTTAGTAGCTTATTAGGAACCAGGCCACACAGCAGGAGGTGAGCTGTGGGCAAGCGAGCATTACCGCCTGAGCTCTGCCTCCTGTCAGATCAGCAGTGGCATTAGATTTTCACAGGAGCACAAACCCTGTTGTGAACTGCACATGCAAGGGATCTAGGTTGCGCGTTCCTTATGAGAACCTAATGCCTGATAATCTGAGGTCGAACAGTTTCATCCCAAAATCATTCCCCTACACTCCATCCCCCTACACTCCATCCCCCAACACTCTGTGGCTCTGGTCTGTAGAAAAACTGTCCTCAAAACTGGTCGCAGGTGCCAAAAAGGTGTTAGGTAAAGCAGCAGTCCCCAACCTATCTCCTATGTGACGACTTCTTCACAGACAAGATGAAAACAGACACACCCCTGCAAACAGCTGGAAACTTCCTTAGCTTCCTACTCTCTCAGCTTGAACCTTTTAAGTGGTAACATCTATCATTATCTCACATAGAAAAATATAGAACAACTTACCTTCTTACCTCCTTCTTTTGAATCTAATTCACCATTGCTCTTTCAGGGCAGTAAGTGCCTAGACTTACATAATAAGCCTTTTTCTTCCTTATTTTCACATCCTGTTTTAGTTCAATCTCTGGGTCCTATCAAATCCATCCACTAAATTTGTGTATTATAATATACTTTCACTTTTATCTAATTTCTTGCCAGAATGATTGAAGAGCCTCTAAACATGCTTGCAACCCTTTAAAAATTTAATCTATCCCTGATACTGCCATCTAATCACAGTGGTCTCAAAAACAACTCTGGTTAAGGCATTCACTAACTAAAGTTTTTAAATGGCTCCCAACATCTGCAGGAGAAAACCTAAACCCCTGTTTACATGATGTTTGTGGTCCCTCTCTCACCAAAATGTTATGAACTATTTTAGCTAAGACTGCACCACATTCTCTCTCTCCCCTCCGTGTTCTTGTCTAGAAAACACAACTCTTCTTTATTCTACAAAGTTGGAGACTACTCAAATGATGCTTTTCGGTGGAGCCATCTCAATACCAAATCTATACTAGGTCAGCAGACTCTTCTATGCACAGTCACATCATTCGTGCTTACTAACAGCAAAGGATCAAACATAAAGTCACTGTTTACAGGAATCCTCCACTAGACAGAAAAATTTAAAGGTGTGGATTATGCGATTTATTTCTGCGTTTCAGGTCCGGAATAGTTAGTTAATAAATATTTTTATTAAAGCAAAAAAAATTACCAAGTACATTTAACGACAAAATTATATGTACAAATGTCTTTTTGACGTTTATTAACATTTTTGGCCTTTTACTTTACATATATTTATTGTCTATCTGATGCCTTACAGGGTAAAAAGCAAAGCAGATCAATTTTATACGGGTATAGTTGGCTCTGCAACAATCTCCACCTATGACAAATTCGTTGATAGTCAGGCATAATAATAGTATTTAAAGCTCAAGAAATGATTGTAGACTTACTGTCTCCATATAATAGAAGTTATCTTTTAAGATTTGCTCAAGTATACAAAAGCTCACAAAGAACAAAAAAATTAATAATTCCATACTGGTTAAAAGATTCTTATTGCCATTCAGCAACAAATTTCTATTCCTCCAAATGTGAGCTTTAATCAAATTTGAAAATAAAAATACGTAATAAATAGGATTCAAAGAAACAAACAAAAAAGTATATTAAAGCAGCCTCTAATACCTGTTGATAGAAGAAATTCAAAGTTGGCTTATCTTCAGTAAACTGGTTTAGAAATCCTTTTGGCAAATAACGAATTCTCAATTCATATCTAAAAATAATTCACAAAACAGAACAATTAGAAATTAGTCATTTTCTCAATTTATAGTCTACAATTACAATATTGAGTATAGCATTCCTAATTACTCTGAAAGATGATTTTAAATATAAGCTATAATCAATTAATCTTTAAATGTAATTTTTAAACATTTTAGCACGAAAAAAGAGCACATATCATAGATGTGCTACAGCTCAGTGATTCAAGGAAACAGAGTATAGGACTTCTGGGCCTTAAGAGGCCTCTTAAGGCCTTCCAATCCCATGGGTCATTCTCCACCACTGCTCAGGGGAAGAACTGCCCTGACTTCTAACATCTTCCACGACTTCCCATGTCTTAATTTTTACCAGTGGAATTGCACAGTATGTACTCTTACTTGCTCAGAAAGCTAAGCTTTAAGAATGGATAAAACAAACCAACATCACCAGAATGCTCTTTATCTTTCTCATTCTCTCTTTATGTGTATGTGTGGCTCTACGCATATGAACACTCTAAATGTCTTCTGGCAAACATATGTACACAATTCGGTTGCATATATACCTAGGAGCACTGGATAACAAATACATCCATTAGCTTTAGCAGATATTATCAAACAGCATGCCAAAGAGTTCGTAACAAGTCAAACTTCCACCAATACCATGGGGATGTTCCAGTTCCTCTATATCCTTTTCTTCACTTGGCATTTTCTAACTTTGTTTTACTCACTCTGATTGGCATACTGTAATAGTGCATGGTGATTTTAATTGGCATTTCTTTGGTAAAAGTAATGAAAGTGAGTATTTTCACATACTTTTTGGTCATTTTGAATATCCCCTTTTGTGAAGTACCTGTTGAGTTTTTTATTTTTTCTGCCCAGGCTGGTCTTGAACTCCTGGTCTCAAGGGATCCTTCCACCTTGGCCTCCCAAAGTGCTGGGATTACAGGCGTGAGCCTCCACTCTTGGCCATGTTCAAGTTTTTGTCCTTGTTTTCCTACTAAATGGTCTACCTTTTCTCCTTCACCACCTACTGATTTGTAAGTGTTCTTTATATATTCTAGATTTGAAGCCTTTACCTCCTATTGATTTGTAGGTGTTCTTTATATATTTTAGATTTGAGGCCTTTGTTAGACACAGTGAATATCCTCTTCCATTCTGTAGCTTAATGGTATTGTTTTTTTAACCACTCAACAAAATTTCAATGCAATCTTTTGAGGAAGCAAAGTTTGCTACACATATGCAAGTTCTGCTAAGACTTATAAATGTCCACTTTATTAAAATACAAAATTGCCAAACAACTCGGTTCCATTTCACTTTTACTCTCAGAAAGAGTTCAATAACTTACTGTAGATATTCTACGCTGGGTTATTATACAAGTATAACAGATTTCATTTATTTTCAACTTAGGATTTACCAGGCACATAACTACTTTATGTGCACTATTTCTCTCTCTTTTTTTGAGACAGGGTCTGGCTCTGTTGACCAGGCTGCAGTGCAGTGGCACAATCTCAGCTCACTGCAACCTCTGCCTCACCGGGCTCAAGTGATCCTCCCACCTCCACCTCCCGAGTAGCTGGGGCTACATGCACATGCCACCATGCCTGGCTAATTTTTGTATTTTTAGTAGAGCTGGGGTTTTGCCATGTTGCCCAGGCTGGTCTTGAACACCTGCGTTCAACAAATCCGCCTGCCTCAGCCTACCAAAGTGCTGAGATTACAGGCATGTGAGCCACCACATCTGACCTGTGCACTATTTCTCTTAATCAATTTAATAATCAGAGAAGAAAGGTATAATTATTCGCATTCTGCAGACTAAAAAAATGCTCAGCAAAAAATTATTAGTTCCAGGGTTACATGTCATTGATTCAAACAGGTCCAAGGAGGCGCCCATTTTATTTATTTTTTTGGTGGCGGGAAGTTCCCATATTAAAGACAAGGAAACTGAGGTTCAAAATGAAACAATGGGCAGCCTGGCTCCAAATCCATTCTTTTAACATCCAGCATTCTGATGCTGCTGATGATTATCAACTAACATTTTCTGAATATTTAGGGTATGACAGGAATTGTGATAAGCATTTCACACAGATGATTTCTTTTTAGAGAAGCACAAGGAACATAGGCTCTAGATAAAGATCACCTACGGGGGGCCATGTCACTTATTCACTGTCAGCTATCACTTCTCTGTGCCTCAATTTCCTTATAAGGATGTTACAAGAAGTAAATGAGTCAGTAGACACAAAACACCCAGAACAGTCACTGACATATCATAATAAATGGTTTCTAAGGTTTATCATTAGTAATAATTCGGTAACTGTTTATTCCAGCACAGATCATGTCTCACGTAGAGTTGGAGGTGCTGGAAATTCAACAGTGAATAACAGGCAAAGTGCTAGGTCTCAAAAAGTCTGCATTTTTGTGGCAGAAGTCAGACAGCAAATACACAAATATATGTGAGATGGCAGTCAACGTCATAAAAAAAAATCAAAGTAAGGGGAATAACAAATGATTAAGTATTATTTTTATAAAGGATAGTCAATGATGGACACTCTGATACATCTGAGCAAAGATCTAAACAAAGGAGATGAGGAAGGGCGTTATACAGTTATGTGCAGAGAAAAAGTGTTCTAATCAGGTGGAACAGACTATGTAAAGGCCCTGCTGCTGGAGGATGCTTGGGAAGACAAGTGTAGCTGGGGCAGCCTGCATGAGGGCAGTGAGTAGAAATGAAGCTTCACACAGACCCTTACAAGTCATGATAGCAGGGTTCTTTCTCAATGAGAAAGGAAGTCAAGGGCATGCTGTGCACAGAGAAGTGACATCACAGGATTTTCATTTTTCATGATTAGGGTATATACCATGCAGAACAGACAATGGGGACCAAAGAAAGAAGTAGGGAGACTAGGAGGAGACAGCAAGATTCTGGGTGAGAAATGATAGCCAGGTTAATATTCACCTTATGTTCACAGATTGGCAAGACAATTTTAGGGAATTACATAATCTTCCCTAGATCCCACAACTATTTAGAGGTAGGCATGGGATTCCTCTCCAGCAAGAACATGAATATTTAAAGGCACAATGAAACGAGGAGAAGGCACCTATGTCTTAAAAACAGAAAGGAACTTAACTCAAGCCTGCTTATGTGAAGTTAGACAAGGCCTTTAGATCATGTTAAGAATTTTGATGGGAGCTAAACGACAAGAACACATCCACATAAAGCAGGAAATAAGACACTGGGGACTAACAAGGGTGGTGGATGGGAGGAGAGAGAGGATCAGAAAAAATACCTGGTTGATGAAATAATCTGTAAACCAAACCCCTGTGACATGTAGTTTACCTATGTAACAAATCTGCCCATGTACCCTTGAACCTAAAATGAAAGTTAAAAACAACTTTGTTCCCTGCTTCAACACACTACAGTCTAGCAAATTTCACACAAAACCCTACTGAAACTTTCCTCAGTCCTTAAACTGCAATGTCTGACACCATGTTCTCGTGTCCCACTAGAGCTGACATCCCTACTCTACTCTCTTACACAAAACTCATCATTTTCTTTACATGTCTGTTAGCCATTTTAAGAGTCTACTTGCATCCTGACACATACTTCCACTTCTCTGCTATATGCCTCTCCATGGATTCCCAACAGCAGCTAAATACTATGCCCTAAATAAAATCATTCTTCTGTTCCTACTCTTAGGCAATATGTTCTTATTCATGCCATTGTCATCTAGCTTCCTCAGTCTTACCACCAAATAAGAGCACTAAGACACCAAAAAGTAACCAACTGAGGATAAGGAGGAAGACGGTATGTTTTTGAAAAGCTGAGTTAGATTAAGAATATGATAGTCCTGATAGTGAGAAGGGTTAGCTAGCTAGTCTGTCTTTAGTGAAGTAAACAAAGCGTTAACTTCACACAACACAGATGCCCTCAAAAAAAAAACTGTGGTGTGAACAGTCTGTTCTTACAATAGACTTCCAATTTTTTTTAAAAAAGGGAAGAATGGAAAGAGAAATTTATCATTTAGCAACAATTATAGTAATAATCACTGCAAGACAGAATCATCAATGAATGCTAAGATTAGTGGGTGAAAATGAGAAACAGAATGTTGCAGTATCGATGTATTTTCCCAGAAGATATTTCTTAATCATAAAGGGGAAACATTAACCTTGTAGTGGAGAAACCTGGCTTCCATTATCTTAACCAAATGATCCAAGTTAGAACCACCTGTAAATTGAGTTGTGTCATCATTATGGACTTCCTGATACAATGCAACGAGAAAGGTAGGACATCTTGACTGTGGCAGTTTTGCCAAACACGCATAACCTTAATCATAAAAAACGATATCAAACTCAAATTGAAGAACACAATACAAATAACCAGTGAGTATTCTTCAAAAATGTAAAGGTCATAATGACACAAATTAAGGAATTGTCTCAGATTACAGAAGACTTAAGGAGACATGACCATAATGTGGTGTTCTGAATTGGTCCTGAACCAGAAAAGGAACGGTAAGTGGAATAATTGGGAAATGTGAAAAAGTCATATAGATTTGTTACTAGGACTGCATCAATGTTAATCTCCTGGTTTTACTAGCTATATTATATAAGATTTTAATATTTAAGGAAACTGGCTGAAGGGTACACAGGATTTCTGTGTACTATTTTGCAACTTTTGGTATTATATTGAGAATTTTTAAATTCCCACAAATACAAGTCTGACCCTTTTGTAGCTGTGGTGACAAACACCGGCCCCCCCCAACACACACACACACACACACACACACACACACACACAAAACCAGTTTTAAATCAGCTTGGTCAATAAATACCAGTTGTACAGCCACAGATCCACTGGAAACTAATTTTAAAGCACCTTTAATCAATCAACTGATAACTTGCCTCAACGAACATGCATCTACAGGTCAACTGATTGGCAGCTCCTTCTTTAATTTAGCCAAACAGGAACTAACTCTAAAGAACATGCTTCTAAAGACGAACAGTCTAACTTGTGTAACCATGT